TGACATTAAGCATTTCTTTCTTTGTTATGGCAGGAAACGGTGTATGTTTATAACATTAGCAGCTTTGGGAGAGGCCAGAGGAAGTAACTTAGAAATTTGCTAAGAGATCTKACAGAAATTACGCTTGTAATCACAGAGAAGTTAGGAAGAGTTTATAGGCAGAGGTTAGCACCTTCTATACCAAGGAGTATAGCTAAGAACAATATTTCTGTTACTGAAATCTTTTGTGGGATCTATAATCTTTTAATTTTTGCACTAYTAAAAGATAACTCATCTTAATGTTACAATCACTTAAAACACTGAAAATGTAACACTGATAATAATCAGATTTTTTACAGATTAAATGTATACAAGATTTTTTTTTGTATAACACTAACTCAAATGAATTATATTAATAAAATATATATTAATAKATATTAATAGTCTTTTCCTGATATTAGATTTTTTTTTATTTCAGCTCAATATATGGCTTCCAAAAACTGATTAAAGTTAAACCAGAAATTCTTCACTACARAAGAATATCTAAATAGCAAATTATAGACACAAAATGAAGACATCTAATTACCTTGCTTAATTTTCTTTAAATTGTTTTCTACACATACCATGTTGAGAGCAGGGCCTATAAATAGGCATTGCTAAGCATCTTGTAAATAAATATAAGACCCCCCCCCAAAACAACAACAAAAAAAGAAGTTCCTAGCAGAATCACTTAGCAAAATGTCAGTCAAAGCAACAAATGGCATTTTGCTAAGAATCCAGGCCCTCACATTCAAACACACAGGGTTCTACAGAAAAATCATAGCAAATTGTAATMATTTCAGACACAGTATAAATAACAACATAATTTCAAAAACGACAAAGAATTCTATCCCACTCTTCTGTGGACTAATACATTGCAGACAATCTTAAAATAAGCATGCCCAGGAAGTGATGTTACAGGCACACATGTGTATGCCCACAGCAGAAGGGGCTGCGGTTTATCTGGAGGTGGAATGTGAACAAAACTAACCAGATTTAATTTTAATCGGGGGATTATTTTCAAATAACTGCACCAGATGGAACTGTGCAGTCTGTCCCTGTGTGTACTAAGGAGCCCACGGCTAATAATAATTCACTAACAAAAAGACTAAAACGKCTTTGACCATTGGCATTAAAAGGTGGTCCGCCAATGCAACCAGCAATTCAGACTTTTGAGCGTGATGACAACACCCTGCAGGTCGGCTGTGGTAAGTGTGGGCTAAAAGGACCGTGCCTTTCCCCAGGGAAAAGCATTTCTGGGAAGGGATGCAAGCAGCCTCCGGCAGAACGCAGGGGCACTGCATCCCAGCTCAGAGGTGCAAACACATCCCCAGAGACCACAAGTGGAGCTGCCCTGTGCAACCTGTCCGGCTCCACAGGAGCCACCTCCTCCCCTACGGTTCTCCTGGAAGGCAGCAAGGATCTTCCCAGGGCCTGGGACGGAGCGGGATGAGCCAATTAGTGCTGCTCAGCCCTGTCCGATRAGCAGGGGCAGTGATGGTGCCATGGGAGGGAGCAAGAAGGAACCTATGGTGGTTTTGGGGAAGGAGCAAGAAGGAAAAAGCAGCTACCACGAGACAGCAGCTGCAGAGGGGTGGGAGGTGAGGAAGGGAGCAAGTGAGGTCTGGGACCTGGGGCTGCATAAACACAGCATTGCCACCTAACAGATTCATATTGGYAGTGTCAATAATCTGCCGCCAGAGGAAAGACTCGGCCTTCCCAAGTGACACGGATTTCTGGATGTGAAGCAAAGACTTAAAATCTGCTTTGAAAAATACTTGTGGAACGGTTTGGCCTAAATATCTTAGTGTTTMTTCCTGAGACCTTAAGAACAGCATGCTGTTTGGATTTTGCTTTAAAGCAGTCTGGATATTACCTACTCAAAATCCCTTTCATACTGTGTCAAAAGCATAGTTTTTTAGCAGAATAGTATCCATGTGGGTGGAAGACAAAAATGAGACATTCTAATTATATACTTCATGAAATTATGACATTTTTCAAAGCTAACAAATGACTTTGTTTCATAAACAAGTTGCAGCAAAATCATTCTGACTTGATTTGATAGTTATTATGGACCACTGGATTACTGACTGTAAGCAAATAAACACACTGTAAAGAATCAATCTTTTACAACAGTGTCATATTTGCTAAAATGTTCTTAACTTTTTAGATGCAGTGAGAATTTATAGTGTTTTGCTACTGTCAACATTTTGTTTCATGGGAAAATACAAGTGTGCTATCAGGACTACTATCCCATAAAGCAGGGGAAGGCTAATGGTTTTATTAAGCACCTTTGCTTCAGGCTAAATGGAAGGAACGGTTATGTCACACTTAGGCAGGGAAACAGCTGGAATCAGCAGAAATTGCCACACAGGGCAACAAATAATATGAAACAGCCAGATCAGAGGCAGCATAAATTCACTAACTAYAAACGCAGGGCTGAGGAACTGCCCATCACACTCTGTTCAGAAAAGGCACRGCAATCCAGGAGGAAGCGAGTACTCAAGGCGGGAAGCAGCCATGAGCAGGRCACTGAGCACCGGCATTTTCTGACAGCCCTAACGTGGAGGATTTGGACCTCACAGTTAGGATTTGGTCCATGGTGTGCAGGGAACTGGTGCAGCCTGCACACTGCTCCAGTGCGAAGGGAAGGGCACGAGAGAGGCACCTGAGCCTGCCCTCCTGCTTCTCTAGCATACGCAGCATGCAAGCTCGCAAGCGGTCCGTACCGCTTGGCCCGAGAAAGGGGAACAAGAAGCTGGAAAAGTTGAAAGATGCTTCATTCCTGCTTCACGCATTTGTTTTTAGTTAGAACTGCAGGGTTTTTGCACAATTTCAGTTAGSCCTGCAATGTTTCTTGCAAATTCCATACCTTACCTTCTCCTACCAGGTAACAGTTATGACTATTTGCAGTTCAAACGCACAACTGTTGTTAAAACTGCTTGTGTAACACATTCCTTCTGACCAGATTTTGTGATATATTCTCCTCCTTCCCTCAGGAAAAAAGAGATTAGGGGAGCCTCTTTTTTCAAGTATTGTTGTTGGAGGGAGCAGATGCATCTTGAAAGGGAACTGCAGAAGAGGAGCTCCAAGACTTTGAGAAAAGGCTCCTGCAAGCAGGAGACATGACAAAGAATTGGCGAGGGGACAGTCCCTCGGCCTGAGGGGCTGGGATTAGCAGCACCTGCAGCCCAGCAAGGGAACATCATTTAACATCAAAAGCAAATGATGTGACTGTGGGTTCATTTGCTAGCTGAGCAACTGAAATCATCTTTCCTACTAATTTCTTTTTTCTTACCATTCTACCYTTGCCATTTCTAGACCACACATGGTAGTTTCCCTTGTCCACCAGGAATATATCTTCTTTGTAGTTACAGGATAGGAGTTAGACAGAGCTTTGTTGTAAATGAGCATACCAGAAAATACCTAAATAACTTTTAAATGCCAAAGCTGTGTTTCATTAGAGTCCTGGATAGAGCAAAGTGACTTGAGGAAAAGCAAAAAGTGTGAGGCAGATCATAATACAAGTCTGTAAGGAGGTTTCCCCCCCTACACATGCACACCACCTACCTGCAGAAGAAGCTGTAGATCCTTGCTTTTAGTAAGGCAATTTTCAGTGGGTCTTTGACAAAAAAACAAACAAAGAGAAAACCTACACAGGCCCTTCTGAGCTTCAGTGAAAAGTCTCTTCATCTGACTTTTCTCTCRGTCTCTGCATGCCCATTCCTAACCCTAGAGACTCACCTATATTTAATTGTACCAATCCCTAGCTGCTCCTCTCTCAGCTCTCCCCTGTCCCCCTGTACACAACAGGAATTTCACCCTCTGGGCCTGCCCCACATCAGCCTCCCTCTGCACCTGGGTGCCAAGGCAAGAGGGAAACAAAACAGGGTTCTGTCTCCCTCCCTGTGTCCAGCTACAACCCTTCTAAAAATGCATCATCCAGCACACTAACGAAACAGGTACCACTGCCTTCAGTTCTTGCAGAGTATCCCAATGGAAGGGAACGTATCACCCTGCTGCTGCTTGCAACTACAGCAGTCTCCTGTCGTGAAGTCGAGCTTTAAAAAGCCGTGTTCTCACTGGGGTTCAGCCTGCACTGGTAACCAAATCCTTCGCATGCAACGGTACATACTGAGTTTATCTGTGTGCCAAAAAAAGCTGAGGTATTTGCTATGAATTGTTGATAAAAGAGATTAGTAAAAAAATATGTGTGTGGTYGATAGGAAAAGTGTGTTCCTGGTCCTGTCCGTGTGCTCCTCACATGGCGGGTGCTCATGCACTGCTGAAGTGCCTGCAGAAAGACACGCGAGGAGCTAACAGCAAAGGCAGAATTATGTACAGATCTCCACCAGCTCTTGTCACGCTGCTATGCCTGAGTTTTCCTGTGTGTGTTGGCTGATAGATACAAGGCTGCCAGTCCATTTATTTATTTATTTATTTATTTATTTATTTATTTATTGTGGCTTTCCATTCTCTTGGAGCTGTACATGTGTTGGCGCACCGCAGGCCGAGGTGAGCTGCGCACATACATCGGACACCTCACTCGAGGCTCCCGGCTCATGCAGCCTTGGGCCGGTCTCTGCTGACACTTTCAAATCCAAAGCAGGAGGCAACCGCCTTGTCACAGGCAGACCTCAACCGCCGCCCCGACAAGGAAGTCAGAGGCCTTGCCAGCGGTGCCGAGAGGCGCGGGAACAACAAGGGGAGGACGGAGGCAGCGCGGCCGGGGACGTGCGGGGCGGCCGCGACCAGGCCCGGCCGCAGCCGGGGACCAGGCCCGGCCGCGGCTTGCGCGTCACCACGGGCAACAATCGCGGCAGGGCGGCGCTCGGCGATCGATTGCACGCGGCTGGCCGCCGCCTCCGCCGCCCGCTCTCGGGCAAGGTGGGGGGGAGCGGGGGGGAAGAGCCKCCACCCTTCCTTTCGGCGCTGGATTGGTCGCGCCTACTAGGAGCCGTGTGTTGTTGTTGGAGGCGAAAATGGCGGCGGCGGTGGCCGGGGCCGCCCTGCTGGGCAAGGGGCTGGACATCAGCCTGGCGGCGCTGCAGCAGCACGACCCCTACATCAGCAGCATCGTGGACGTGGCCAGCCAGGTGGCGCTCTACACCTTCGGGCACCGCGCCAACGAGTGGGTACGTGCGCGCGGGCCCCGCCGCCCCGCTCCGCGCCCGCCGCCGCGGCCGGGCGGGGGGCGGCGCCTCCGGGGAGGGGGCGGGGCGTGGCGGCGGCCCCGCCCCCGGCGGCGTGGCCGCGGGGCGCGGAGGTGCGAGGGCGGTTTAACGGTCGCGCCGCGCGCTGCGTTTGAAGCGCGGGTGTGGCAGGGGGCGGGTCTGAGGAGGGGAGGAAGGGCCTGGTTTTCGGAGCGGGCTCGGAGATTTAAGTGATACACGTTCAAAAAAAAAAAGGATTTAAGATAAATAAAATCATGAGAATCCGTTGAAAATCTGAGAGGCTCTTTATGYTTCGTTCTTACTGTTATTAGGTTTAAGGTTTATGCACCTTCCCTGTCGGGCATACCTGTGCAGCGGGTTCCCTGCCATGTTACTGCCACTCAGCCTGAACCAGCCCTCCCTGCCCCTCTCATAGCCACCTGCGAACTTCAACAGGATCCAGCCCCAGGATCCACTGAGCCCTCATGAGTTATCCAGGTTGGCAGGGTACAAAAAGATTAGAAACTGCCTGTGAGGCCTATTATTATCATCAGCATTATTACTATTATTATTGTTGTTAAAGAAAACGCAGATCAAATACTTCTCCATCTTGTCACGTACATCTGGTGAATGGTGACCAATGCTCTTTGTAGTCCATAAGGTAGGGCTTAGTAATTGCATTGCTTAAGCCAGAGTGGTGCAATGGCACTTGGCGCTGTTAAAGCAGAGGTGCTGCAGGGTTATTTGTGCCTGAACTTCATAACGTTCCTTTTGTTTAGGAGAAGACGGATGTGGAAGGAACACTGTTTGTTTACACAAGGTAAGGGGGTTATGTTCAAATGCCCGAACATGCAAGCTGTGGGTGTGGAAAAGCTTGGCCAAGTGAAGCAACATGCTCAAATCCTGTTATATTGCAAGGTGAAAAGAAACTGTAAACAGAAAAACAGACTTTCTTTAAAAAGAGGATCACCCAGAATGTGGATAGGACTTCAAAATGTAGTTTGAAATGCAATACAGATGAATCAGAGAAACGTGTGACATTGATTTCAATAAAATTTAACCTTTGTCCTTTAAAAAGTGTCTGAAAAAACAGTATAATAAATAATGATCRCTAAAGTTTGAGAATGGCAGGACTTTTTCTTCCTGTTTTTGGGAACATTCATGTTGCTTTTATCTGACTGCTGATTTTCTCTGCATCATTCCTGCATGGTTTTAGCTGTTTTTAGTGCTTTTGTAAAGTAATGCCACTAATTGTGGAGCATTTTTTAATAATTCCTATCCTAGGTGTATGTTACTTTTGCAGACTTTTTTTTTCCGCTTACACTAAAATAGTTTTATTTAAGAATTGGTATTTTGAGGAGATGAAAAATTCTTGTGATGTTCAGAGATTTTACAAACAGAATCCTTTCCAGAGCATTCCTCAGTTTATCTCTTCTAATATTCTGCCACTATGTGTTGTAAAGCCTGCTTTGCAGTAGGACAGCATCTCCAAGGTAGGCCCCCAGCATTTTTATGTGACTAATGTTAAAAGCAGTTAACAGATCTTGCGAGAGCTGCTGGAAGGGACACTGAAGCAGATAAACAGACTTTCTCCTTCAACTTTTACACTTTAGAGAATCCAGTAGGAGCACTGAGAAAGCAAAGGATTCTTTTAAGTGGGCAAGAGTTGCAAGTATGAAATGAAAAACTGACATGAAGGAGGCCCAGGGGAATCTGAATTGTGTGAGGTGGGAATGCTGATTTTAATCTTTTGAGCTCTTTCCTACCAACTGCAGGAATTATTAGTAGTGATTTTTTTCAACCTCCTTTTAGGTAAGTGAAGGGGAACAAAAAGATGACATGAGCTGCTATAAAAGTCMCTGCTGCAAGATGAAGGAACTGGTCCTCGTTTGTGCTAGCAGTAGCATGAGGTGCCTGGCTGTGTCCCATGCTACAAAAGTATTATTTCTCTGGGATGTTGGGTTTATATGTCTGGAACTGACAACGTGTAGGTCTGGCACTTATAGCCTCTACCTGTTTYCCTCCTTTTTTTCCTTGCAGAGATGGGAAGCTGAGAAAGTTTCCATTTTCCCCTAAAATTTCCACCCTTGCTGCCCTACAGAGAACAGTACTGAACAGGTTATGAGCTGTGGGTGACATCGTACATTGACCTCCCCATCAATTTCAGTTTTAACTTTAATTTTCTGTGGCTTTGAAGAAAGTCACAAAATCCTGTAGGTAAAAYATTGCCTGCAGACTATAGGTTGGAGACAACTGACATTGTCTTTTGCTTTCTTATTACTATTGCGATAAAGGTGACCGTTTTATTTGAGATTGTTTATTTTATCTCCTACTCTATCCTTGAGAACTCTCAAGAAGTTTCAAAAATGAGACTTGCCACTGAATTGGCACTAGTAGAAGTGGACTATTTAAAAACAAGAAAGGCAAATGAGTGAAGTATTGGCTGTTGCAAACAAGTATTCTTCATAAAGTTTATATCTTTTGTTTAATTTTCTGTTGCCTCCCATCCTGTAATGTGGGTTTCTGTGTTYTGGATTTCATAGACATCCACCCACMAGTGATCAGCAAACCTGGATCTTTTCCCAAACATTTAGCCTTTATCTTGTTGTTTAGYATCAAATTCAGTTTGAAAGTAGCATCTCCTGTCAGAACTGGTGATAGGGTTAACAGCTCACGCGAAGAGAAATTATCTAACTGACTTAGACATATAACCCCTGTGAAAGAGCTTAATATGATTTGGGTTTTTATACTTTGCATGGTATTGAAATCCCACCTGGAGTGATTGTTATCCTRTGTACTTGTTCCCTGAATATTAAACCACAGACTGTGCTCTGGCCCGTGACTGTAGCTTTCCAATTGCTGTTTACAACTCCAGAAGAAACTATAGGCTGGTTGAGTAGCGCAGTGCCAGTGATCTGGGACGAGGTGTCATTTAGTAATGTATTGCCTGTTGAGAAGTTGTAACCCTTACAATTCAGTGTAAAGCCTGGGTATGCATATATGATTAATGCAGCTTGTGCGTAGATGATGTGACTAATCCCTGGGCCTCAAATGGTAGTGTCTCAGATGCTGCATACTCTCTGCAGTTACTGTGAGCTGTGGTGCTTTGGTCATTTCTTATGCAAAATGTTTTGAAATAATTAAAGGATTTTAAAGGAGGACTGCAAGACTTGACTGTTATTTCCTTGACAACCAAATTAGATTGCTGAAATATCTGTTAAAAAAGAAAAACAATTTTGGACAACTATACAACAAAAAAATTACAGTCATTTCTGATTTTCTTTGACCTGATATTTCTACTTGGCAATTTTCAGATCGGCTTCTCCGAGGCATGGCTTCACAATTATGAACAGGCTGAGCATGGAAAATCGAACAGAACCAATTACTAAAGACCTCGATTTCCAGCTGCAGGATCCTTTTCTGCTATACAGAAATGCCAGATGTAAGTGCCTGGGTTATGTTGGGTTAAATGCTTAAACAGTCAGCTCTTTTTCAGAGTCTATTTTCTGCTTAAGACAGTCCAAGTCATTAGATTACAGTTTTCAGGGGTTGAAACTAGCTGGTTAATAGTTATAATTGAAAGAATTTTTTTTTTTTTGCTTGACATACTGAAAGAGAGGAGTGTCTCAGCGCTTCCTAAAATACCATTTTTCTCAGGAAAGCGTTTAAACATGCTTAACATGTAATCTTTCCCTTAATTGACAAATAGTAGATTTTTATGGTAAAGAGTGTGTCATGGGTGTAGATATTCATACAGGCAGTGTTTGCATTTTGAATATACTTCAGTCGAAGTTGGGAAGTCTTGTCAGAAAGAAAATCCACTGAAGGTTGAAGCAATCTGGGTACCTGATCTTGGTGTTCTGCTTCAAGATAGACAAACAAAACCAATTGAAAACCTGCTTCTGCTCCAGCTCCAATACCTTGTTCTTAAGGCAAGTTGGAGAAAGGGTCCTTGACTCTTACAAGTAACTGGCCTAAAAATAGTGCTAATACAGAGTTGAGCCTCCTTTAAATACAGAGTTGAGCCTCCTGATGATAGACAAAGCTAGTGCTGTGGGCTCTGTGCTTGTCTTAAATATCAGACTTCTGTGTAGCAATTGGCAAACATCAGGCAAACTCAGAATTGCACGGAGGACGGGAGAATGCTGAACATACAAGTATACACAGAATCATTGGAACATGAAATTATATGTGAATTAGTGCTTATAAATATACAGATTTCTATCTATACTTACAAGTAGAGCTGTAGTGTGCTCTATACTCTGTGCTTGGGGCATAAAAGCAGATTCCAAAAACTCTGTGTGACCTGACCTGTGATCTAGATTGTTCGCTCTGAACAAAGCAAACACTGGGCAAAATCCTGGCATCTAAGACAATGCAGTTTGATGACTATTTTTTCCTAAACTCAATATGGAACGTGAAAATATATTAAGAGGGAGTTCTGTTGCTCACACACGCACAATGTGGCAGAAATAGTAATGGTCAGATAGCATTTTAAATATTCTAAATGAAAATTCTATTTCTGAGAATATATGAGATGCTGAAGGAGAGATGAAGTTCTCGCTTTAAAATTCCTAAATAAACTGAAAAGAAAGACACCTTCAGGCTAGACTAGAGTAGACACAAGGATTTTAAGCAGCATTAAGTACCACAAGACCCATTTATCCCATCTGATTTTGATTAGTCTCTCCTACATATATAGGTTTTTCTTTAATCTCATTTTAAATTCCCAGTAGGAATTTGTATATGCATAGACTAATATTTGCCTTTTGAAGTTAAAGCATTAAATGTTTTATTTTTGTTGAGATGCATAAAGAATAGAGAGAACTTGTTTATTATCACTCTGTGCTGACATAGTAAAGCTAAGAAAGTCTCTAGCCTGAACATCACATATAACCTGAGCCTTTTTTTTTATTATTATTCTTTATAGCAGAGAAGATTGCTTGCTTTGTTTTGAGGTATAAGCAGCTCATTAGGAGATGTCAGAACTTAGGCTTTTAGGAAAAATCTAGGTTTCTGGATTTTTCTGTCTAAACTATAGTTTATATAGGACAGGATTTCCACCTAGCAACTCCAAACTGGATTTTTTGGAAAGATCCATTGCCCGTCAGCCTCGGCAAAGTTAGAACAGTCTGTTGGTATGTCTCTGCTTTTCAGTGCAGAAGAATTTTGCTGAACTCTTTTACATTCGGTTTTAAGACCTGTTGTGCAAAATAAACACAGCCAGGGATTCCTTTTTGTGAATCAGTTAATGCTCCTTTTTGCCAGCAGATTCACAAATCTGTGCTAGGAGGCACCACCTCAAAGTAATGCCAGTGTATATTAAAGAACAAACCCAACAAGCCTGTCGGAGAAAATAAGGGAATGGAAGCAGGGAAGGTAAAAGATTATGTTCAGAGATGACCTGCACTGACAATTTGCCAGCACCAATAGGAAACTAAAGTCCTTAGGTCATCCAGGTAGTTTACCTGCTATTTTCTCCACTAAGAGTCAGCTAACTTCAATAATTTCCTCCCATATTGTATATTTCAGAGTTAAAAAATAAAACAAAATCAAATTAAAATAAAATAAAATTAAAAATGGTTAAATATCTGTCTTCATTAAGGTCTCATCCAGACCTGAATGAATATCCACTTTGAAATTTTGTGATAAATACTTTCATTTGATTTACTATACAACTTCTGTTTATCTTTTTTGTTAAACTGAGGCTTCATTTTTTTTTCCATATTAAATGGAGCTTTCATACAAAGCCTGTTCTTTCTAGGCATCAATACTATACTATTATTTTTATTTCCTCCTTCGGGATACTAATAGAGGACTATTTAGTAATAGCTGTTTACTTGGCTCAACTTTGGGCAGTTTGCAAGTATTTTGGAAGCAGGTTGCCTTTTCTAATCTTTGTTTAAATTGGTCACTTTGTACTTGTCATAGAAATGTTTTTAGATATGACATAACTAGATCTGTTTCCTCTGTGTTTTAATTAGTGTAGTTCTTTTCTCATGTAAGATTTGCATTTGATTTTTGTAGAGATATAAAATTTCAGAAAAAAATACACACAAAACGAACCATTTGGAAGAATACGCAAATCTTGTGTAGTCCTTTGCATGTTGCAGTATTATGAACATTTGTTGAACCTGGTTTTATTTCAGTAGAACTGAATATCTACTGCTGATTGTATCATACAATTGAAAATAGATGCTCTTGGCAGCAAAAGTGTGTTACTTTTGCACTGGAGAAGTCCCTGACATTTTGTCATGTTTTAGAAAGACTGCTTTGCACCCACTATATGACTGCAATAGAAGAGGCTTTCCAAAATGATATATAATACAACTAAAGCTTATGAATACTTAAAAAGGGAGCATTTTGATCTTTTTTTAATTGGATTTTATATAAATTCAGTTTTTCTGTATGATCTTGTTTTGTCTTAAGTCATCTCAAATCTGTTGTCTAAAAACATAGGTGCAGCACCTGCGATCTAACCCCAGAATTTTTCAGACTGGATTTGGGAGCCCTGCCAGTTAATATTTACACTGATCCATTATTTAACAGAGAAGTTTGTATCTGTAAAAGCAAGGCTAGAACTAGGCTTATTCATCCGAAAGCCAGAAGGGAGGCTCAAATTACAGCTTATTTGGTGCCAAAAGAAATCCTCTTGTAAGTACAGCAAGAAACAAAAGGTTTATAGGTCAAGTAAGTATTCTCAATAAGATACTTAAATTTATGTAGTTAACTGTTGTTTCAGACTCTTTGTCTTTCTGAAAGCAAGCAAGGCAGTGGTTTTCATTTTTGTTGTTGTTGCTTAGGTAGTCTAATGATTTTAGTTTTAAAAAATAAATTCCTGACTTATATATTTAACTAATCTTAAATTAATAATTACTACTTTTTCTCCTAGTTCTTGGTGGTATCTATTATTGAAGCCAATGTTTGGAACCTGTTGCTCTAGAAATCATGCTGGTTAATATGAAATAGCACGAAAAAAATGCATAAATGTAATTATTGGTTAAAGTAATATCAGTATCTCCTTTTAGCAATGATCACCTATATAATAATCTAGTCGCCACATCTCCTGAAGTATCTCATACCAGTTGTGTAAGGGTATGTGCTAGGTTAGAGAATTATTTCTTGAGTCGACTGATCTGTCCTTCTATCACTGCTTACTGGTATCATACAGAACTGGGATAACTTGAGGAAATTTCAAGAGCTCCGTTCACCTCTGGAGTTCTGGCTGGCAGAAGGAAATTTAATGCAGACTGTACCTTGCAAGAAGCTAGTAAACCGGGAGAGAAAATCTGGTACAAGTTACTTGGGTGTTTTCCTACTATAGCCTCTGGAGAAAGAAACTGAGTGACAGTCAAACAGATATTCTGTGTCTGACTAGACACTCTGCCCATTTGGGCACAGATGGTGATTTCTCCTGTGTGTGTCGCTTAGCAAAGCCTTTGGTGAAGTCAGCTCCTAGGATGGAAAGCGAATGCGGTTCCTTAGCCAGGCCCCACGTGTTTGTCTGACTGAACCGGGGCTTCAGGAGGTGCACGCAGGCACAAGAGCCAGGCCTGCCTTGGGTGAAGCTGTAGGGCCAACCAGGCAGGCAAAACCTCACGGTAATTTCAGTAGTCAGGTGTAGCCAGGCACCGTATGCCTGCCAGCCCTACGAGTTTAATATCACATTCTCAGGTTCCCGTACTGCCAAGCTTTGCAGTAGATGCGGGCAGTTTGGCAGTTGTCCGCAGGAGATGCCCAAGTTACCTCTTCCCCGTCCCAACCTCGTGTTTATTTTTTCCCTATGTCATAATTATTTAGGGAGGAAAATGGAAAATCTTCCCAAAAGTTGGTTCATGGCAGTTAAACTGGAAAGGCAATATTAAGGAAAAGATAATGATGTGAATTTTTGTCAAACTAGGTTTTTTTCCCTTTTAGGATTCTAAGTCATGGTCTTGGAAGAGCTCATCTTTTCGGAGGCTGAGTGGGGTTCTTTTCAGTTCACCCTTCTAATTAAGTGCTAAGGGGCTAATAAGTGCTCCACCTTTGTAGACATTTGTGAAGACCTATTGATTCTTAAGGTGGACTCATAGAAACATTTATCTTCTAAGAAATACCTGCTTAAAAGGCTATTAGAAGTTTATCTTCCTAAGGAAAAGAGAAGATAACAGTGTAAAATTTGAGTAAAAATGATTAAGGGATGAAAAAAATGGATGCTATTAGATGCTATGTTTTTTCCCTGAAATTTGTTCTGATGCTAAGCTACATTATATATTCTAGAATTAAATATTATTTAAGCTCTTCTTTCTTCTGAAAAATGTTTTTATTTGAGAAAGAAACCAGCATTTTGTGGTTATATCTACCTTTTGTATATATTTGGGTTCAGTCTCATGCAGCAATCGGTAAACAACAACTTAGTCAACTATTTCTATCGAGATGGGGAAGTAGTTCTTCTTCTTCTTT